ATTATGAATGAAAAGTGTGGAGTTTTCTCTTCCTAAATAACACTAAGGATTTGGGTAAGTTACGATATTTCCTTCGAATAGAGGTTGCTAGATCAGATAAGGGAATCTTTATACCTCAAAGGAAATATATTTTGCATCTCCTTGAAGAAACCAATATGTTGGGATGTAAACCTGCTGACTCTCCGATTGAAGCTAATCACAAATTACAAGCAGGAGTTGGTGAATTAGTTGATTTAGGCCAATATTAGAGGTTCGTTGGGAGATTGATTTACCTCTCACTCACCAGACTAGACATAGCTGATGCTGTAAGTTTAGTAAGTCAATATATGCATGACCCTTGAGATTCTCATCTAGAGGTTGTTTTCTGCATTTTAAGATACCTGAAATCTGCACTTGGAAAAGGATTGCTCTTCTTTAAGCATGGTCACCTAAAGATAAAAGCTTTTACAGATGCAGATTAGGCTAGATCTCCTGATGATAACAGGTCAATGTCTGGTTATTGCACAGTTGTAGGTGGAAATTTAGTTACTTGGAGGAGCAAAAAACAAAATGTGGTAGCTCAGTCAAATGCAGAAGTAGAATATAGGGCTATGGCTTAGGGTGTTTGTGAATTAGTATGGCTGTAGAAAGTAATGGAAGAATTGTGATTGTCAGAAAGGAAATGTCTATCCTTGTTCTATGATAACAAGGTTGCTATTAGTATAGCTCACAATTCAGTTAAACATGATCGAACAAAACATATAGAGATTGACCGGCATTTCATAAAAGAAAAAATAATAGATGGCTTTTTGAATATTTCTCATGTGACCTTAGAAAAACAACTAGCTGATGTGTTTACTAAGGGACTTAGCATCAGACAATTTCATACTTAAGTTTGCAAGTTGGGCATGTGTGACATCCATAGACCAACTTGGAGGGGAGCGTTGACTCGTGGAGGATTTTTAAGAATGATTATTATATTTTGTATCAATATCTAATTATTACGGCCTAATATTGCGCTTTCTATATTTGTGATAACTTCCTGTTTTAGGGTTGTTTTAGGGTTAACATGTGTGTGTGTGTGTATACACTGCTGTAAATAATATTTTCATGACATAGAGTAAAAAACTCTCTTGGTTTTTTCCTCTCAACACAAGGAGTTCATTGATTTGATTCTCTGATATATACAACTGATTTTCAATTTATTTATTTATTCTTTTTATTCTGCAAGCAGATAACAAAAACATATCTCCCAAGAAACTAAAGCTCTCCTGTGCTCGGAAATAAAAAGAACATCAATACCCTGCATGAGTGGCCTACATATCATAGCAGTATGATAACTATCGAGAGAGATACTCTGACCCAAACTAAACTTCTCTACATTGGAATGCATTAAAGAGGAAAAAAAATCCAAGAGATGATTACTACAATCCTACAATTTAATTTTACAATATAGAGAATGATAAAGAAAATTCTGAAAAACAACATAAGTGTGAGATGCAATGATGATGATGATAAGCAAATACAATTAATTTACCAGCATCAGACTTTTTGTCCCTTTATATTCCGTAGTTGTATGATACATGAAAATACAGTTAACATGATTTTGAGAAACTTTAAGAAACACAAGAATAGAAACAGACACAACCCAAAATACATAGACACATGCTCAAATTACAATGAATCAACTCACCTTTTCAAAGTTCACATCTTCAGCTAGTTGCTTTCCTACACTGTGCACACCAAATATCTGCACCCGTTGCTTTGCATCTGGCAAACCAATGTATAAACGACGATCAATGCGCCCGGGGCGAACAAATTCAAGGTCCAATTCATCTGGCCTATTGGTGGCACAGATGAATATCACCGCTTGTCTGAGTGAAAACCGATCAACACCAGTTTTTTCCTTCCTACAAGATGTCAAGCTGAATAAGAAAACAATGGAGTTGAACAGAAGTATGGTTTGACTCTGCAAAGTCAAGAAAACAACAAACTATGGAGCTCCTTTCACTGCTTCAAAATATTGCCATTTCAGAATTCAAACTGCAAGTTGACCAGATGCCCCAGTACGGTACCAAAAAGAGAGTAGTTTAACATTGCATTCATAAAGTAAACAAGAAAATGAGGCAAAAAAGGTGAAAAGAGAAGAGAATTGCGAGCTCAAAAGCTTGGGGGGGGGGGGGGGGGGGGGGGAGAAGATAATGATTATTATTTTACTAATGGAAGTTTTGCCGCGGAGTTGCTATGGGGAGCAAATACTTCATTATGCGTTGAGGTAAACTACTATACTTACTCCCCATCAAGCTGAGCAATGAGAGCTTCAAATGTTGCCCTTCTGCGTGGATCCTTTCTTGCATGCCTTCCAGCAATGGCATCGATTTCATCAACAAATACAAATGCAGGTGCCTGCAGCAAAGGATAAGTATGTAATTCTGATAAGAGAAGGACAACTAGAAGACACACAGTAAGATAATCAACAAGTGTTAAGGCAAATTAGAATGGCATTGCTGGTAATAGCCTTTGGAACTTGAAAGTTGAAAATAAATGCCAATGCTGTCAGCACTCTGCAAGCAAAAATTATGTGTATATATGGAGAATAAATTTCAATGTAGCATTTGGTTTCATTCACCCATCATTAGAAATTTGCTGCTGAACTAAAGGCATATAACAATCACAACAACAGGAGAATTAGATTATTTTAAATATTTTCAATGAAACATTTTGAAGCGCAAGTGCTCATGGACCTTAAAGAATCAGGAAGATGATTGATTGAAAATTGAAAGAGAAATACAAAGCCAACCTTCTGACCATTACTCCTTGTGCTAATATATCAGAGACAAAAGAAAAATTATAAACTTTTAAGGGTGGTTGGTCAGTCAACTTTGATTGATGACACCACCTCAAAAGCACCTGTCATTGGTATTGAAGTCCTCTCCTCTCCATTAATAAAATTAAAGGTTCTTCCATGGCCAAGGGGATATGACATAGAGAATAATATGGTATTAAAAGGAGGTTCCTGAACTAGCTTTCTAATCAATCTTAGGAGATTTGATTGTCCAAATGCTCAAGAAATTGAGTCCCGGAAGAAGCAACAACAGTGGGGCACAGGTACAGGCTGGGTTGCACTCACCTTTTCCATGAAAGGGACTTTGAGGAACCAGAAGTAAAGTGGACAACATGCTTACTAATATATATCAAAGATGTATGGAAATATTGGCAATTTGTTCAGATTATTCATCAGCATAACTGCACTATTTATTCAATAACAAACAGAAACACTGACACATAGAAAATCAAGTATAAACAAGAAAGAAACAGTATCAAGATTCAGCTATTAAGAAGTAATTGGACGCACAGCATTCTAAAGAAGACTTGTAGCCAGGTAAAATTTTTATCTTTGGGGATTAAATTAGAATTTTAGTCATGACAGAGACGTGCACATTTTAAGTAGGAATACCATAATTTTGTTTTTTCCTTTTCTTTTAAGTTATGATTTCTAGTGGAGTCATGTCAATCAATTATAAATTATGAAAAAATAAGATCTCAACTAAAACAAAAAGTTACTAATTGTTAAGGAACTTTCTTATCTCTTATTTAAGGACTCCTTTTGGTAAAACAAGCTAAAACAAGCTCACCAAGCTTTGAGTTGTTGATCTTCATTCTGGTTTTCTCATGAACTCAAGTCTGTTTTCCGAGCCTTGTAAGACCTGCGGCTTCTATCGGTTCTCTTCATTATTACTATGCAAATAACTATTATTGCAGTGTGGAAATTGATACTAATATGCTTAAGGGAATTTGGTTGAATCAATTCTGGTTGCAACGGTGGCACAAGTTACCACAGACAGGTTTGGTTGGTGTCATCATGGAAGTAATGTGGCCTGGTTTTGTCTGCTGAGGTTCTTTTGTTTGAATGTGTTCAAGGAGTCAGTAGTTGGTGGTTTCTATTGTTTGATCTTCTGTGATTAGTTGTGTCAGAACAGTACCTGTTTTTGTGCTTGCATTTGTTCTGATAGTCTATAGATGTGGCAGAGATCTTGTAAATAGGTGTTGGCTCGGTTTCTCTCTTCGTCCTGATGATGATGGCCTGATTTTGGGATGGTATGCTAATGTCTTCATAGCATCCTAAAATCAGATGCTACCTTTGTTTATCTCCAGGGATACTCATCCCTTTTTGCAGTAAGGAAATGTACTTAACTTTCAAAAAACAAGGACTCTTTTTGGTAGAAGGCGGTAAACTTTTATTATTATCAATAAATTTAATCTAGTCTTTGCTGCAATCTGAGAGTCCCTTCTGTAGGAACTGAGATGCTGTTTTACTAACTTGATTTAGGTCTTTGAATCACCATATGAATTGGCTACATCAGAATTAGAGCACAAAATGGTCCCCATACAGGGTTTATCCTTGAAATTATTTATTATGCACTGCTCTGGGGCAGTAATAATAATAATAATAATAATAATAATAATAACAACAACAATAACAACGATCAATAAAATTTAATCTAGTCCTTGCTGCAATCTCCGACTCTTTTTGGTAAGAAATGAGATGCTGTTTCATTAACTTGATTTAGGGCTTTGAATCACCATATGGATTGGCTACATAAGAATTAGAGCACAAAATGGTCCTCGTATAGGGGGTTTTTTTATTTTTTTGGATTTGGGGGAAAGGGGATTCGAGCCCTGCTCTTTAAGCAGGGAAATCATGCACCAATCAATAAGCCAAATGCTTGGGTGCTGGACCTTGTACAGGGTTTATCCTTAAAATTATTTATTATGCAGTTCTCTGGGGCTGTATAATAATAATAACTAACATGTTTGCTCGCAACAAAATTAAAAAATTATCAAACAAAAATATTACATTTAATGATATATACATGCATTCTTGCAGTTGCAGGTATGTATATAATACATATGGATGAAAGTAACAAAATAGTTCATAACTAAAGTATAGGTTGATGACAAGATGATGTAGGTTCTCGTTGTGATGACAATGATGATGAGTTATAATAAAAATGAAAACTAGTCATGGTTGGAATTGATTATGATACTAAGTTGCAGGGGCAGCCATGGACTACTGGGCAATGATGGTGGTAATTAAAAGTGTCAGGTTGCCTGCTATGGATATGATGGTGCTTGTCCCAAATCGGTAGAACCAAAGTATCACTAATGGTAGTCCTAGAAGGGTGAGGTGACAATCATGGTGTTTAATAACTAGAGTATGATAAAATCTGATAGTTGTGTGATAATGAGCAGTTGAGATGATGGGCACATGAGAAAGTGGCAGAGCCGTGGAGGTGTTGAAAAATTGGAAGTCACTCCCAATAGTGGTACTCATGGAAAGGTAGTAATCATAAAATACTAGTGGAATGCCATATCTTAGCAAAAAAAAATTGTTAATTGTTTTCTCTTGTTTCTACTTCTTACGAAAACATAAAGATAACTTTCTTGTTCTTTCCACATTTACTAAAACATTTTCTTAGATTTCAAAAACTAAAACATCAAATCTGTATTCTAGTTTTTTATTTTCTTTCATTTTATACTTAATTTGAATAGAAAAATGAAAAAGAAAACGAAAAAATGACAATAATAGCAGACAATCCCTGTATTCATCAATTGTTCTAATTATCAGTAGAAAGAATCATTAATTTCGGCGAAAAAAAGTGACATGACTTGTTGTTTGCCCCCAAACAGTTGACTTTTACTTACCACTCTATTTCTTAAGCATTTTAACAGCTATTAATGGAGACAATAAAGAGCGAAAACTTGAAGATGCTATTTTTGGACTGCGCCTGAATTCAGCATATTTAAGTTTTACAAAAATTTAAAGAGAAACTTTACTTCAATAAAATATCCAAAACACACTTGGAATTATATTTGTGAAAACAGAACCTAATCATTTTTATGATTTAGGTGAGTAAAGTAGTTCAAAAGCAGTACACTACCAGATTTGCAACAGCATAAAATAAATGAGCTCCAACTTGTCAAAGGTTAAATAAATTAATGAACACTGAATAAATTCTCAATCTACCAGTGATAATCGATTTACAAAATTTTTAAACAAAAAGAAAAGAGGGAGGCAAGGGAAGAGAGGAGAGTGCTTACATTTCTCCTTGCTATAGAAAACATCTCATTGATCCTAGCTGCGCCACTTTTTTCACTATCTGTAAACTCTGCACCAGAAGCAAAAACAAAAGGCAGCCCACTTTCCTTTGCTAGTGTTCGTGCAAAAAGTGTTTTTCCCGTCCCAGGAGGTCCAGAGAGAAGAACACCCTGTCATCACATAACCATGACATGCTTACGTTATAGTCCAATCAATACTTGAGGACTGAGAAAACATCTATTGAGTATAAAAGTTTACCCGAACAAACTGAACATCTTTTTCATAGTACTGCATGGGATTTCCCATATAAATCATCAGCTCATCAAGAAGATCCCAAACATCACCCCCCAATACCACTTCTTTATACATGGATTTTGTTTCACCAACATCTCCAACAGGCTGAATAAGTACAGAATGCAATAACAGTTTAAAAACAGGCAGAATTTGACAGCAGGGCAGAAACAACAGCCAAATTTGAAACTTTTACCAGTATGAAGTTTTCTGCATAAGCCATATCAAATAGTTGGTTATACTTTTTGTAAAGAAAACGCTTGGAGGTGACATGAAGAAGCATTGCAGACTCCCTAATAAGCCATAAAATTAATATTCCTGGCACCAGTGCAATCACAACTTTCAGAAAATAATGGATCTGTCGCTTCTGAAGGAGGTCTACTTCAACTCCAGAACTTGAGATAATCTCAAATAAGTAAGGATCAAGGGGAATATCGACCTACCAAATAATCACAGCAACAAGAAATTTTATGGAAAGGATGTACACAACCCTGTTTCAGCGAAAAGGAATGAAACATTATACTTACAATATATTCTAATGGAAAACCTTCTTTCATTGTTACATACAATCTTTTCAAGTCCTCTGTGAAAACAACAGCAGCAACCTGTTTTAAAAAGAATGCATGATCACAAACTTCCTCCATAACCATTTTGGTGCCCCACATATATCATATAGTAGTAATTGTCTTCAGAACAAATATAATGTACTGACACATGTTTAAACCCCTGAATTTTGCATCAGAATATTTCCAGTCCTTTCTTTTATGTTGTATTTGCACCGTTTCTAAAATTAAGAGGAATAATATAAATCCATCTAAGTCCTTTGCCCTAAATAGAAAATATAAGGCAAACATGCTTATGAATATCGGCATGCAAGTGCAAGCACATGCGTGATGCTCATGCTTTGATGCATACATGACACAAGACAAACATGTCTACATGTCTACAAATGTATGTGTTCACACACGCACACACAACATACAAAAAGTTTGCAGATAATGCACCAGTTAGCATTCTGTTTTTCTTAGAAAAGTGGTACATACTGGTACCATGTATTTTGGTAGACCATTGCAGGTTTATTGATACATATATGTCAAAGTTTTGGTCTTCTTAGGAAAGCGATACATACTGGTATGGATATATTACAGTGTGCAATTTAACATTTATCAGAATATATAATTATATAAATTACAAATACATTTGTTCATATACATAACACTAGAAGCAATGAATTTAATTTAAGTTACATAATTCATAATAATTTCAATAATATTAATACTAGAGAGAATATAAATGATAACACTCTTTGATTATAACAATAGCACGATGTAAATTTGACATAATATCAGGTTCCTTTAAAATGAAAAACCTAAATTTCATAAAACAAAGTAATTAATTAATAATCCACCAAACAAAACCTTACTTCTCACTTATTGAAACCCAACATTCAGCTTAAGACATTTAATTTATTTAATAGGCAAAGAGCCAGCCCATTCAAATAACTACACACCTAGAAGATAAAATTGGAAATGAAAAATGTTGAAGCTTTTATTTTCTAGTATAACAAAACCATAAAATGCTCATCTTAAAGACAGAACATAAAGCTCTGGTTTTCAATAAGCACAATAGGTTGAAACAACTCTATTTTTCCTTGTGAGTACTGGTATTTACTGACCCATTCTGTCTTAACTTTCCACTGTAACAGTTTTTATGGTGGTACTCTTTCGTTCCTCATGGGCTTTCATTGTGCAAATCTCTCTCTAGCAGCTCCTTAGCTCTCTGAATGAAAATTGAAGCATTATTCTCTCTCTACAACACAAATCCTCTCTCTCTCTCTAACTGCATATTTGTTGGTGTTTGTCTTTTGGTGTGATAAGGTGGCGGTTCCAAGTGATTTTATGAGATTTGTAGCAAAATGAAAAAAAAAAAATAGAGAGAGAGAGAGAGAGAGATTTGTGCTGACTGAAACATAATATTTCAACCGGTGGAAACATGCCAGTACATCAAAATAAACATGCGGTTCTATAAAGCAAAATGGAATGTACCAGCCGGTACCCCTGATCCCTAACACATATAATATAACATATATATATATATATAAATACATGACACAGATGTTCATTTTGTGGGTACACTATGAAATTTACCAATTGAATACAAAATAAACTTGACCTAATAAGGTAAAAAGAATGAAGAAAAAATATTGGGCAATGCAATGCCAAAAATTACTAGTTATTTCCTCAAAAGCAGAGAAGATTAGAAACAAGATTGTACACCAACTTACCTCAGAGCATTCAAGTTTTTGAAGAAAATAAGTGTAAGGGAGTTTAGGACGATATCGCCACCATCTCTTAGATATCCATAGAGCTCTAGTTCCCTGTGTTTCTGTTACCTTTTCAACTACATCCTTGCGAAGGCTGTTTTCCACCTCTTTCATGTCAAATTCAACTACATACTTGGCATTTATGGAATCTAATTGCTCAGATAACTTTTCCTTTCTGAGGATCTCCTTCCATGTTTGAAGCCTTTCACGCCATGTTCCCATACTTACTGGAATTTCACCTACCAGAGCAAACACGATAAAACAGGCCGTCAAGAAACACAAAGTTCAGAATATTAAATCATTAGCCAAATCCCCCACAAACCAATGTGACTTTACAAAGACACCAGTTGTCATGTATTAACCTCAAGTTATATACCTGCCACGCAGAAAATACCAAAGCAGAAAGCAAGTCATTGCTCATGTAATGGTGATAAACTGAATTACTACTAGAATACAACATTTGCAATTATAAAGAAAATACTCAAACTAAAAATGCAAGATAACTATTTTGTATGGATAAAAAAATAAAAAGGCTGGCAGTTGATGCTTGACAGTTATGTACATGCATGCACATTAACTGACCTGAGAAGCCCAAGTCTTTACTTAACTCCTCCTTTTCCTCTGCATTTAATCTTGCATCATTGTCAATAATTTGTTTCACATTCTCTTTAGAAGGCTCTGGATCGTCATCCCATGCATTTTCTCCAACATAAGAACTATCATGAATAAGCATTCCATTAGGTCCTTCAATGAACTTTTTCAATTTAAGGCCTTTGGGTATTGTCTTCCTCCATAAACTCTTCTTAAACCTGCTTATAATAATATGAATAATGGAGAATATAAGAATTGAAGTTGGACAACCATACTGTCAAATCTCTTCATTGTTTTCTAGATTTTTAATGTTTGTACCACAAGAAAGCATATAAGTTAACAAAGTTCAGGGACAAAGAAACGAGAAACGCATAGATACAACAACATATTATCTATAGGCAAAAAAAAAAAAAACTTCATAATAAACCAGCAATAAACTTACATAATAAGAAGCAAGCTACTTGTTTGTCAAAAATATTAGACATTAGACAAAAATTATTAGGAATAGTTTGACTACATGCAGAAGAAACCACTTGCATTCCCTTAAAAAATTCACCAGATTTATGCACAACACATTCTTTCTTTTTACCACAACAAATCACATCCCATACAAATATCCAGACCTTTATTCAGATAATCTATGTGCCTTGTCAGAAATTAGATTCATAGACAGATATTTACCAAAATTCTTTATTTTCACAAGATCGATAATTTAGAAAATCTCGTCAAACACATGAAATGAATCAACACTTCAAATTCAAGAAAATAAATAAACAATAAGCAACAACGTCTAAAAGGTCTAAAACAAATAAAAGCAACAATTTAATTATATTTTATTTCAATGACTTATCTCTAACATATGCATTGAAAGTTGTGAAAATTATATAGGAGACAATTAATCTTTCATTCAACAAGAACCTAGATGTTGATTGATAAATCATGCAGCACTACACAACTAGATAGTCATGTCTGATACATTATTAGAATATAAAGTAATCAGTAAACTGAATATGCAAGTAATAAAAGAAATGCATTTACTTTCCAATATTACTAGGAGAGGGTTCAGGAATCAATGCCTCCATATAAGCCTCCGTTAATTCTTTTCTTTCTCGACCTAGTTGAGGAGCTCGCACGACAGCATACAGTTTTTGACAAGAAATTATTGCAACAAAAATATAGAGGATCAATGCAGTAACCCGTTTTGGCTCCCAATTCTTGATATCCTGAGAATAATTAACCAATTATCAGCTTCACAATAATGAAATGATCAAGAAAAAAATTAGAAAAGCAGAACCAATTTGGGTTCATATGAATGAGCTATATCCTGCAATTCAATTTTTTGAGCAGGCCATACAATAACCATGAAACAGCAAGATTACACAGATAGGCATTCAGACAGATATTAGCAAGTCTTATTTAAAGATTCTTACAATACTTTTAAGTTGGTTTATTTCCACACAAGTTTTTTATTTTTTAATTTAAAATTAAAAACCAGAAGATGTTCTGAAATTTGTCAAGTTTGTTCTCCAACTATATTTGACATTTTACACATTATTCTAACTTTATATTAGACTTGGCAATTTTAGACACAACACATTAACACAACACGGGGTTAAACAGGTTTGGCTTTAGCCTTAACATGTTTTGTGTCTAACCATGACTGACACGTTTAAGACACGAAAATTTTCGTGTCTTAACGTGTCAAACATGGGTAACACGTTTAAAACACATTTAAACACATTTAATTAATCGTGTTAATCGTGTTTAAACATATAAACGTATTTAATCATGTTATCCTATTTAAACGTGTATGCATTACACGCTTATCAACTTGTTAAAAATTAATAATCAAAGACAGTTTTAGCCTTACTTAAATAATTTTAAACAATTATTTTAATAAGATTTTTCAAGTTTATAAGGATAATTGTTGAGTTTTAGGTTGATTAGAATTCTGAATCTTATTTGATTAGGATTCTTGTTTGTGTACAGCATTAAATAGATGCATCATTTTAAACTTCTTATTCCACATAGTCCTAATCACATTCTATTTTGGACTTTTATATTATAAAAGTGGATCTCTAGGCTTTAGAATCGCAGATGTGCTTTATGAGCTCTGGAGAAGGGACATCTTGTAACTCTGTCATTTACTCTAGGTGAAACTAGAGAGGTTTGGGTGAGTGCTCTTGGGAGGTTATTGAAAAAAAGTGTGCAAGGGATCTTGGGTTGGTTTGAGGAGCCATAGAGATCAATTTATTGTATTATAATTTCTCAATAATAGAAGAACAGTTTCATTCCGTGGACGTAGACAAGAGGCCGAACCTCTTAAATTCTTGTGTTTTTCTGTTTGCTTAATTTCTCTAGGTTTTATCTTTGTTGTTTCTTGGGCAATTTCTATAACAAACTAGTATTAGAGCTTTGGGGTCTGTAAATTCAAGATTCAATAATGATGTCGAAAGTTACTAGTTCTACGAATTTTTCAATTGAGAAATTTTATGGAAAGACTAGTTTCGCGTAGTAACAAAGAGAAGGATAAAAGATCTTGTGCAGTCAGGTTTAATGCGCCTTTTGCTAGAAAAGGAGGAAGGACAACCAGATGAAATGAAAGATGCTAAATGGGTAGAGATGGAGCAAAAGTGTGTGAGCATTATTTGGCTTTGCATTGGAGCTAACGTTTTTAACCATGTTATTGATGAGGATTCTGCTTTAAGGTTGTGGGCAAAGTTAGAGAAGATTTACTTTGCGAAAAGTCTTTCTAACAAGTTACAACTTAGGTGAAAGTTGTATCGCTTAAAATGGAAAGAATATAAACCTCATGAAGCATATGAATGAATTCGACAGGATCATTGATCAGTTGAAGAAGGTTGATGTGAAGGTGGAGGAAGAGGAAAAGGCACTATTGTTCCTGGCGTCGCTTCCAGACTCCTATGAGGCATTTGTGGAATCTTTGATATGTGGGATGGATACAATCACGTTAGAACAAGCACAAGCAACGTTAATGTCTCGTGAAGCCCGAAAGAAAGTAAGGAAAGGGATAGAGATCCAAGTGGCTTGGCATTGGTAACTGAGGTTCCTAAGAGGAAGTCAACCGATAAGTGATCTAAGGGTGGCAAATCTAGATCCAACAATGTTCAATGCTTTCAATGCAAAGGGTATGGACATATTAAAAAAGATTGTCCTACAAAAGGAGATGAAAATAACGAGAACAAAAGTGAGTGTTCTTTCGTTACTGAAGGTGATGATTGTGATGTCCTTACAATCTCAGAAAATATGAATACAAATTCTTATTGGTATTTAGATTCTACTTCTGCCACTCACATATGTTATTAAAAAGATTGTTTTTGAATTACTTCAAGAAAAGGTGGCTGAAATTTGACTGTAGATAATGAGTCAATAGTGGAAGTCATGGGTCTTGGAATAATAAAAATCAAAAGTTTGATGGGTTGTGCACTCTTTGGATGGTGTGACCTATGTCCCAAAGATGCATAAACTCTAATATCATTGAACCTTGTTAGACTCCAAAGGGTTATGGATATTCTACTTGTGATAAAAGAGTGGTAAATAAGTCACCACAAGGTGATATGGTCTTGATGAGGGGTATTTGTATAATGGCTTATATCGTCTAGAATATGAGGCCTCGAAGGGATGGAACCAGTGCGCAGGAGATGGTAGCTACCAAAGTGAGATTTCATTTTCCGAGGAGGTGATGAAAGGTTCCCATGGTATAGACGATGGTGAAAGGACGAAAAATCTTGCCAGTAGTGAATTAAAAGGGTTGTCGAGGTCTCTTTCTGAAGTTAATTAATGCCATTGACTTGACGGCTACACAGGTGCATTGGTCATTTTATGAAATCGAGTGTTAGACCATGCTTGATTCGTTATGTGTAGTCGTGCTAATTATAAAGGCCAATGATTTGGAAAGTCTTATGCTTAGAGAGTTGTTCAAAGTGTTAGAAAGTGGAGTTAAAAAGTTGCAATTAAGTGTGACTAGTGGAAGAATTTAAGAAGGTTGAGTTCAAGTCAAAGGTGGAAATTTGTTGTGTTTTAGGTTGACTAGAATTCTAAATCTTATTTTATTAGCATTCTTGTTTGTTTACAACATTGAGTAGTTGTATGGTTTTAAACTTCTTATTCCACATAAAAATCCTAATCACATTCTATTTTAGACTTTTATATTATAAAAGTGGATCTCTAGGCTTTATAATTGCAGGTGTGCTTTGAGAACTCTAGAGAAGGGACATTTTGTAACTATGTCTTTTGCTCTATGTGGAACTAGAGTAGTTTGGGTGAGTGTTCTTAGGAGGTTATTGAGAAAGAGTGTGCAAGGGATCTTGCATTGGTTTGAGGAGCCATAAAAATCAATTTATTGTATTTTAATTTCTCAATAATATGAGAACAGTTTCACTCCATTGACGTAGACAAGAGGCCAAACCACGTAAATTCTTGTGTTTTTCTATTTTCTTGATTTCTCTAGGTTTTATCTTTATTGTTTCTTGGGCAATTTTCATAACAATAAGAATATAATTATGTCATGCCCAAATCCTAATTGTAAATTTTGTTTTGTTATATTTGATGTTCTTGTTATTTTGTTGTGGTGTAATTGTTTTTATCATATTGATTTTAAATTTAAATAATAAAATTATATTTAATTGTAAATATTTTTATTTAATAGTGTTAAACGTGTTAATCGTGTTATTAATCATGTTATGTCATATTGACACGTTTAACAAACGTGTCGTATCGTGTTACACGGTTATTAAACGTATATGTGTTCCTGTTTCAGATTTAAGACACGAATAGCATTCGTGTCGTGTTTATGTTTAAACATAGTGAGAGTACTTCTGTCAATTGGAACCAATCTTGACTGGCCTCTACAACAGCTATATGTATAGAATGCATTTCTTAATGGTGACTTGGAAGACGAAGTTTACATGGATCCACCACCGGGCTTTGAAAGGAAGTTTGGGTCAAAAATATGCAAACTAAAAGAGTCTCTATACGAGTTAAAACAGTCACCAAGACCTTGGTTCGAGAGGTTCACCTAGTTTGTAAAAGGCAAAGGATACATTCAGGTACAGACAAGTCACACCATGTTCACAAAGTATTCAATTAATGGGAAGATAGCTATTCTCATAGTGTATGTGGATGGCTTGGAATTTTTAGTAGTGAAAGTCTCCAAGTTTCATTTAACTTTTTTATCTAATCAAAACTTTACCTTTCATTATCAAAATCACACACCCAATTACCACTTCAAGCCCTAAATTTGGAAAAAGAAATTCTAGCAGAAACACAAACATGGAACATCCTGATATAAATCCACAAGTGTCCTCTCCTTCCCTAGTTAAAATTTTAAGTATTTATGCTAATCAAGGTTCTGGAGTAATGAGTTCATCCATATTGCATCATTGAAGTCAGACATACAGCATTCATGGTGGAAACAAAAAAAGGCAGATTTACAAGCACCAAGCATTCATTGATGGGATATGTTGAGTTAGGTTCCACTTAGAACTTATGCAGAGCTACTATATATAGTGTGATATTGAGGCATTGATCACGACCCCATCGCTTTGCTCATGGTTGAATTAAAATATTCTTTGGGCTCTTGAATTCATGTTATTTAGATTATAATGTGTCACATATTAGGTCTTCTTTTACTCTTTGGTTAAGATTTAGCTTTGTTAGGATCAAATTACACCAGCTCACTTTGTGCAGGCTTTCTTTCAAGTGCATTGAAGCACATAAGAATCTCCCAGTAGCTCGGTGGTGCAAACCATAGGAGGTGTGATTCTTTCTTTCCTTATGAGAAATTCAAGCCTATTTCTACAAGGTCAAAAAATATTCCATTCCTTTGTTGTCTTCATCATCTTAGCTAATCATTAAGAAAAGCTTCAATAGGGATTCTTGACTCCCAAGCCTTGCTTCCCATCAAATCCCCCGAATGTTTTCTTGCAATACTAAGGCGAATTCAATTACCAAGTTCCCCTTTATCATCATCCATCATTATGATAAGGTTCAGGAGTGAGATTTCTAGATTCCAATCATGACTTTAAATTAGAAAAAGAATCTATAAAACAAATATGCTTGAAATAATTAAATGAAACAAAAGGAAAATCTAACAACATAACCTCAAGAAAGCAGTTCTCTCTTGTCAGAATATGTTCACACAGTCAAATCATAATTCATCCCTTCCAACTCAAAAATATACCCTTTTTCGTTTCTTTTGATTTGTACGTGGGGCCAATACTCATGGTTTTTATTGGATCTGCTTGTATATAAGGAATGCTTTCTCCATGATCTTGCATGGCCCAACTCTGTCCCACTTCTAAGAGCTTGTTTAATTGAATCTAAAAGATTTTTCTCCATTTATTAGACCATAATGTTCTGAAAGAAGAAACTGCATTTACCTTCAACTTTGCATGAATTTTCAGCATTTCAGATTAAGAAACGCTATCTTAGACAACTAGTCTGTTTCTAGTGGTTTAAACCTCTATTTCTGTTATATTGAGAAGGAATAATCTGTTAATAGTGGAAATCACATCAGGCGCAACTAATATCTCATCAGATTGGTTCAAACAAAAGAAAAAAAAAACATGTTACTATCGAACTCAGTTGAAAGAAAAGGGTACCTATAACCAAAACCATATTTGATAAGAACATGTAACACAGCAGTGAGTTATGTTTCAATCATTCTCAAAGCAAATTGAAGAAGAACAATGAAGCCTTACTGAAAGAAGATAATGCACCACAAGGCATTGGCTCTTTTTCATAATGGGCCAACTGGGACAGGCTTATCTTTTTGCAGAACTCAGAATATACAGCAACAGAAAGAAAATGCAACTGGACCTGGACACATCTATCCTGTGTTTCACACAGAAACTGAAGTTTCATTTCGACTTCATACTTCATGTAATTCTAAGAATGTTTTCATTTAGTATGAATTTCATTTTTCATTATCCCCTATCCTGTCTACAGATGCAAAACTCTAAAAATCCACAAAAGTCAAACATCCTGGAACAGACTTGAACTAAACCGTTGGCTGTTCAATCTAATTAATGCAGATATTGATCAACACCAGCCATTCATTTCCAAAACTTTGAAAGTGTAATACCAAAATTAATTTCAGCATTTGCTAAGTTAGTATTCCATTCATTTTCAATCACTCAAACACTTAAAAACAAAAATGTAATAACCCAAAAAAGCTTACCTTCCAGCGCTCCCACCGGTTCCAGCTAACAAACTCGGGAACCAACTCAGTCCACAACCGAGTGAACTCACCCTCGCCCTTCCTGAACCCTTCCTTAACTCGTCCCACCAGCTCATTTACCCTTACATTCGCCTCATCCAAATTAAACCCTGTTTCCTTCTTAACCGACTCCCCAAATTTGGACCAGAACAGCTCCGACCCGAGCCGGAAAGAGCGCGCAAGGCTGAACCAAGAGAAGCCATTGGAGCCAGACCCGCCGGGATTCGCAGAGGAAGAAGAAGCTCTGATTTTGAGCCTGCGCCTCGTGGGGACTTGAAAGAAAGTGAGGTTTTGAGGGGTTTGAGTGATTGGTATGGAACAGAAGATAGGAGTGTTTAGTCCGATGGGGATTGCAACCTCCATTTTCGTTGCTCACGAAAGAATTTGAAGCGAGGTTCTTAAGACTGTGTTTTATAGGAAGGGGCTTTCGAGGGGTTTATCCCAGTGCTGGGAGTAAATGGCACACGTGGGTTGCGCACGTCTGTTTTGCGCTTCTCTTGCTTAATACTAGAATGTCGCCCCTGCAATGGTGGGGGTAAACTATCATCCTTCAAATTTCTTTCAGTAATCTAAACTCTATATGGTTCTTATCTGCACAGCTTCTCCACATTTAACACCTATACCTGATATTTTATTGGGCTTAAAGGGCATTTTTGAGTTTTTACTCCTTTTCGTCTCTCTCATCAGTCACCCGGTGCTTTTGCTCTACACATTATCTCAATAGGCCCTCCTCAATTGATCTGCCAATTAACCATTCTCTCATCAATTGCTGCAACAGGTACATGTCTTTGCTGGTGATCCTTTTCGCATGTGGTTCTTGTGTTGCTTTTCTCTGTCGACTTAAATGGCAATTCTTCTGTTTCTTGACTGACTGGGGTTCTTATCTTTGTTTTGTCACTTATATTTTCGATGGACGGTGAAAGGTTTTCTATCAACAGCAGGTTTATTCTGATACCTACCTTCCTTTCTCTGGGTTATCTCCTTTCATTTTTATTTCATTTTTGATGTAGTCAAAGGATTTAGGGTAATTAGAATTCAATAATTAGGATTAGAATAGACAATAGTTTTGCTGTCAAATAATATCTTGAATTTATGAATCTTTCTTTTTTTAATTTATTTTGTAGATATATTATTTGATTATTTGATTTTTATATTTAACTTTATGTGGTTTGTGAATGGCTATACTTAGTTTTGATCAATGGATATAAATTTGTCGAATTGTTAGTTGTTGAACTTGATAATTTACTATGCAAGATTATATTTTTATTTAATTTCAATAATTTAGTTTATGCTAATGAGAAATTAATAGTCATTTTTAACAGGTTCTTACATAAATTTTTCTCGAAAAGATATTTTACAATACAAAAAATTATCTCACAAAACTTAAGTCTTGGCCAATAACAACATAAGTCTACTAATAATGGTACTCAATAATCTTCTAAGCAAAATTGTATAGAATTTGATCTAGGTACTCTTTCGGTAAATTCTAGATTAAGGAAAATTTTTTTTTTAATTATTGGTTGTTGTTTTAGTTATGACACCACTTACAAAAATTTCTGAATCCGCCTCTAGTCTGGAGCTTGAGTGCTAGGTGCTATATTTGTTCTTCCATTACACTGAAATATTATAGAGCACTTTGGGTTTCTTATAATTTATTCTACTTTTCATTTTGCAAATAGACAGGGCTAATGGGGAAATCTCTACTTCAAATTCAATTCACCAAAGGAGATGTTCTTCCTTGTCACAAGGCATGGATTCTCCAAGTAGTATAGCTTGCAAATTTTGGGTTTTTAGATGTTATATTTGTTCATCCATTACACTGAACTATTGTAGAATACATTGTGAATTGTAGTTAGGAAAGCATTCTTTTATTTAATTATTTTTTTGTTTTCAATATAAGATTTTCCTATATTTTGTTTTCTAATATCACATTTTCTTTAAAATTTTCTTTGTTATTATCTTTTAGAGTTAGAAGTAATGATTTTAGCTATTCATGCTTATTATTCGTTTTGTGTGAATGTAGACAGTCCATAATTGAAAAAGTCAAAGAAAAAAGAGATCAAGTTTTCAAAGTTATTACAATTTGTATTTTCATAATTTAAAAGAATTTCAATTTTTTATATCTTTGCCAAACATAAATTTGCGTTATATAAGTATATGTATGTGTGTGGATGAAATATTCATATATATATATATATATATATTTATATTTTAATTGATATAACGAAATTGTGGAGTTTTCATATGTTATTTGTAACATATTATTATTGTAAACCCTAAAAAAGGAGGTATAACATATAAAATGCAAATAGGGGCAATAACCTCTGCACAATTTCATTTAAATGTTGTGCTGATATTTGATTTCTTTTAATTATTGTTTTTTAGAATAAGGTATGAGAAAATAAATGAAAGTAAAAAGATTTAGTACTTACTGCATTTTACTTATATATAATATTTCATTTAAATGTTTAGTTTATTATTTGATGGAGGTAGTTTTTTTTTTATCATAATACAATATAGGATGATCCTATCCAATTCTAAAAATAAAAAAGAATAAAATTATGCAGTGAATATTGTATTTTTTTTATATTTTAAAATATAAAATCAGATAATTTTAATTTATTGTAAATTATAAAACTTTTATAGCAACATTTGTAACAAAAGAAAGAAAAATAATGGTAAATTGTTTGTTAAATAAATAGATTGAATTTTTATATAAATGTAATAATAATTTTAATTTATTTTTGATCTTATCCATTCTAACATTCTCCTATTTTAACAATATCCATATGTCCACCTAGCATTTTTTTTCATTTATTGGATCTTAAAAATGGCCAAACCAAGATAATCCAACTAAAATACACTTATCCTTTAAACTCATCTACATTGAATGATACCAAAAGCAGTAAAATTGTCCAAATTATTTTGTTCTAACTTGAAATTGTGTAATTTTGAACTCTAGAATGTGTATTAAACATTCTAAGCCCATTCATCTTTTGATTATGAACAGCTTCATTTTGTATTATAGTATTTATGATGAAAATAATTTTATTTGATTTGATTGCTTTTTAAACACAAAGCTAAAGACAATTTGGTCCATGTCAATAAAAATAAAAATAGTCTAAAATTTTTTAAAAAAATACTAGAAAATGAACATATCTAATTTAATATCCATGATTAGTGTCATATTTCAAAAGGTTGTCCAACTAAGCTCACACACTTAGGAAAACAATTGGATTTACAGATTTCATATTAATTGTGAAATAATTTAGATGATCACTAAGATTTTGAAATTTACTTAAATCATTCAATGAAGAAATGCCATTCACAGTCATTTACTAACTTTATTGTAAACAAATTGTGACACATCAATTTGAAGCAATGTCATCCACAAAAAATAATTAAGTAATAAAAACTAATATCATTGAATTATAAAAATATTAGCTATGATTAGAATTTCAACCTTTTTTAATACACCATGGACAAAAAACATAGCAACAATTGTAGCAATAGCCTTAACATTTTCATTAAACTGTTCGTATTAACATAAATACAAAGATTAGTATAAATATTTTGTAAGACGCATAGCATTTAAATATCATTCATTTCAACAAAAAATGGAGTAAACATCTAAAGCAATTATTCACATTGAGCTTATTGCACTAACATAAATTGAGTTCCAACGTTCTATTTATATGTAGGAGCCTTGTTCTAGTTGTTTGAGGGTTTGATTTCAAAATTATGGCCATTAAGCTTGTCCTTTTATTGCTTGTCTAGTATAAGGTCTTGATACCTACAATTTGAGCCTCACTACTTTAATTCTAAATCTCTATTGATATCTCGATACTTCATATGAGTGTCTCAATACTTGTTCTTCCATGACAAATCCTAGACGAAGACGTGTCTCAATACTTTTGTGGCCAAGTCTCGATGCTTGTGCACATGTCCTCTAGAATCTTTGAGCTCTAAAGACAAGGTCTCGATATTGTGTCAATGGGTCTCAATACATTTGAACTTCCTCTTTGGAATTTAAAGGTTGAAAGCAAGGTCTCAATACTTTAAACTTGTGTCTCAATACATAAGGACTTGTTCTCTAGAATTCTACTTTTCTAAGGAGATGTCTCAATACTTGGGGTCTAAATCTCAATACTACAGTACATACTCTCTCAAACTTGGTATGCCAATAAATGCAATCTCAATACACACTAGAGATGTCTCCATACACCTTTTCCCTTAGGTATTTCCTAAGGCTTCCAAAGTTTATAGTCTTAACACCCTCACACAAGATTTCAATAATTCATGATAGTTTAAGCCTCTTTTGAGAACATTTGAACTGCAACCCTTAAGCTATTTTCAATCATATTGCATAAGGCATTTTATAATGTCATAATGGGCTATTTTCAATCATATTGCATAGGCATTTTATAATGTCATAATGGGCTATTTTCAATCATATTGCATAGGGCTTTTTATAATGTCATAATGCTCTTATAAGCTCATATTTTGATCATTAGCTTTTGTTGTATTAAAACAAGAAACAATCATAAAGCTAATAGATATCGATTGAATTTTCAACAAAAATTACAATGACTTCTAAAAACTTTGTGGCAAAGACACACACACACACACACACACAGAGAGAGAGAGAGAGAGAGAGAGAGACAGGCAATGCAATGTCATAGAAATTCTCATTAAAATCAAAAAAGAATGCACATAATATATATGCATAGGTTAATAGCTAATAGAGGAGGGAGAGTGTTGTCAGTGACTAATTAATTGCAAACTAACTTTTAAAATATGCATTTGTAAAATGGTGAGTATCAAGTGTGTAAATGGATAACGCTTGGTTTATTGAAAGGCGTGTTGTAGCCAGTGTTTACTGAAACAATGGTTTCTTCTTCTTCAACCTGAGCTTCCTTCCCTTATGTAGATTGAAATTATGCATCTTTTATCTCTTTTGATACTCTCACTCAAGAGGGAGTGTGAAGTTATGAACACTTATCTTGTCAGTAACTTATGAATTGCTTTGCCTGTAAAGCCTTTGCAAACATATTAGCTATCTACAAGCTTGTAGAAATGTGTAAAGGCTCAATCACTCTACCTATGAGCTTTTCACGAATGAAATGACACTCTATTTCAATGTGTTTCATCTTTTCATGGAAAACTGGGTTTTACTTATATGAATTGCAGATTAATTGTTTGAATAAAGACTCTTGACATCACTATGCTCAATTCCAAAATCTACTAACAAGTATCTCAACCCTATAATCTCGTAACATGTGGAAACCATTGAACGATACTCTGCTTCAGATGAACTTTGAACCATCATTGACTGTTTCTTTGATGGAATATTTTATTAGAAAAGTTTCGATAATTTTTAAGGGATTTTTTTGTTTTTAATGGAATGACATTGCCGACTTAATCTATTTTGATAGACTTTCCAACAAAATATTACATGGGAAGAAACAATTTCTTTGCTGTAATAAATTGATGGTTTTTGGTATGAATTCTTCAAAAATGATTTTTGATAAATATGTATGTTATTTATCATGCCTATCTGTCAACAAAAAAAAAACTATGTTCTCTATCATGCCAAGATTACCTAAAATTTCGGTGAAATTATTGATTGAAATTTATATATATTATATAAAATATATTTACAAGCTTAAAATACAAGATAATCTACAAATTCAAATGTACAACAGACTTATATATTCGAAATTAAAGCCTTACATGATACTAACTTAACATTTTATTCAATATTAGTTGCAAGCATCCTCCTTTTCCAAAGAATTGGTTTAAAGTTTCCTTTCTCCAAACAAAAAACAAAAATATTTATCTGATTAGTTTGTCTCAGGATAGTACTTGTAGCTATGGTGCTGTTATCTTTTATCAATTTCTATAATTTTAATTTGATTCTTATGTCAGGATTCCCTCTAATAACCATTTTAATTTCATACTTGTAGCTAGAGCCTTGCACTCATATTGTATTGAAAATAAATGAATTGAAAGTAAGGGAGTAGATGAGCCAAACCCCATGAACCTGACCCAATTAAGAGACTGAGCCAACATTTCATTACCTTTGTGTCTCCACTCGAGGTGCAAGCTAGAGAGACCAAGCTCGGCAACATGGATCTCTTGTCTAGTCCAGCCATATGCAGATAACAAGTATCTTGTCACAGGCTGTAATTCTCATCCTATATTCCTTAATTAAGTCATAGTTGATTTGGCTTAGGAAAAAAGCAATAAACATTATCTTTGTATTGCGATGTAGGATTTGTTTCTTACTTGTGTTGTTTTCTGGCTAGGATGATGACCCTGTGGACTTTTTCAAATGCTTGAAATGAATGGTATATTAAATGGAATGCTTTGCAAAATTTGTTAATCATGAGGAATATAATGAAAGGGACAGCAGGAGGAAATTGTTGTAAAAATCGAATGCTGGCAGCCTTTAAACATTGTCTAATCTTTACAGCTCCCTCAATTTTGTCCCTGCTTGATTAGCAAACCAAGCATCTTCCTGTTTGCTGCAAGGGACATCTTTCTCTTGTTGCTACTTCTTTTATGTTTAATGAAAAGGAAATATTTTGGCTAAAAAAGTTGCATTTATCTAAAGTCTTAAGAAATAATTTAGTTTTCAGATTTCATGGCTATTTTCAAAATTAGAGGTATCAGTATGGGCTAATTCGATCCAAACTAGTCCATTTTTTACATGGGTGATAAAAACTCCAGTCTAGCTCGGCTCTTCTCAATCCATGGGCCGGGCAATGCCAACCCACTTCTATTTTTCAAAAAAAAATTTTACTTCTATAAGTTTACTTAACAAATTCTTTATCAATAAAATTA